TAGTACCTGAAGGTGCATGTTCAAATCCCGTTCAAATCACATGTTTTTCATGTTTCAACAAAACAGTGTCGGATTAAAATGATGATTATACTCCCACTAATTTACTTCCATATTTTTCACTCGTGCATATGTTTCAGTAATCGTTTACTTACAATTCTGGACGTAAAGTTTGACTGAAACAAAATGGCAAACCTCTAATCAGCAATGGAAAATCTTTAAGCAACGATGGCGTGCTTTTTAACATCAATGGCAGAAATTTCTCCTGCGATATCGAAAGAATTGAGCCATTCATTCATAGATTTCATTCACAGAGTTTAGAGAGCAGCATACATGTCGATATTTAAAATTGTAAAAAATTTTTCTAAATTCAGTAGTCGCTACACTTGTAGTTTTGCATGTTTAGCAACTTAATTCAGACAGAAAGCTTAACTATGTTAGATCATTCTAAATGTCGATTGTCCAGGTTGGTATAGTCCTGAGAAGGACTGTTTTTGTTGTGGTTGACTGACGTTTCGACAACCTTAGTAGTCATCTCGAGAGTCAAATGAGGGGTAAACGTCAGGTTAGCCGTACTTGTTATCTGGTTCTTACGTCATTGTATTGTGTGTACAGAAAATGTATATTGTCATTGTGAATTAGTGTGAAGTGAAATATTTTATTTTTAGTTGTGATGTGTGATTTAGGTGTGATGTTTTTAGTTTAGTCAATTGCGTATTGTCATTTTGAATTAGTGTGAAGTGTAATGTTTTTAGTTGATCGCTTGTTTGTATTGTGAATAAGTCGTTCGTAAGGTGCCGGTCATTGCTGTGATCTGTTCAGGGGGTTGTTCCAAGTTGGTATACAAACTTTCTAATGTAAGCTGTTGTCTATAGTCAGTACTGTAAGTAATGCATTTTGCCGAGTCCCAGTCAATGTTGTGCTTTGTGATTCGGTGATATTCGGCAATGTGATTAGTTTTGTCTTGTTTCTTAGTAGCTCGTTTGTGTTCAGTAAGTCTTATGTTTAAGTTCCTGCCAGTTTCCTTAAAATAGGAGGCGTGGCAGCCAGAGCAGCTTATTTTGTAAATTGCACATTGTCGTTCGTTGGGTTGTTCTTTGTCCTTTATGCTCGTTAGTCATTGTCATAACGTTGTCGTTAGTTTATGTGCAATACGTATGTTGCAGTGAAATTGATGTGCTGTAATTTATATTGAGGTATACTGGATTCGCCACTCTTTAGTAAGTCTTTACAAATGATTTTAAAAATGACATTCTTATTGAAGAATATTTTTCAACAATAAGCTCGTCAGAAGAATCTTCATATGTTAACAATGTAACTGACATTTTGACGCCTTTGAGTCCAAAAAACAGGTCAGTTTTAATTGTTTGTACCTCTCACCAATAAAGGGCAATAAAATTATTAAGAAACATTGTAAAATATTTCGCAGTTGTGCAGACTATTGATTCAAACATGCATTTAAAACATTCATAATCAATTTATACTAAAGATACGTGTTATGCAGCATGTTTTATCAACATTGTGTTCTTAATCATTTGACCGTTACGTATATCATCTCATGCTAGTCCAGTGATCTATTAATTGCGAATTTTCTATTATTTGTTGCAACTTATCGCTAATAAAGCGATATGTACCTATGTTTTAATTGTTTTCTGAGCAGCAAAGTATTTTAAGGCTCGTGCCTTTAAGGCTCTACTCGAATATCATTTTCCACATAATTTCCCATTTGCACCATAAAAAGTTTCGTATGAATTATTGAAAATTTTACATATTATATCTTCTTCTGCGCCTTAGAATCTTGATTTTTTTATGAGCGCAACCAATGTTAATAACTTTCTTCCCTCAATGTACATTTTACATGTACACAATGTACATAATGTAACATATATGTTCTATATGTTCTACATGTTCTATATGTATAAGTTCTATATGTTCCTTTTCAATACTACAATCCATGCATCTGTAAGTAGCTTTATTACGAAGCTTTTACAGTGAGACATTTAAAGTGGGAAGTAATTGTTATTAAAGCCTAACCTTAACAGAATTACTGTAAAATTCTTACGTTATCTTCATCAAAAAAATGTTTATCAAAAAGACCGGGAAACTTATGAGCAATGAAGGTCATGTTTCCTATCTGGATGGCTAAAGTTAACTATAGTTTTTTTCGTGTGTTCTTTTCTTCGTTCTAATTGCTTTTCCTGTGATGCAAATCAATGAAATTTGCAGCGAATGGACCATATGTTCTGGCAGGCCCTTATAACATTAAAGAGTTGTACAGTGCCTGTTCACCTATATTGTTAAGCTATCTTTGATTTTAAGTAGTGCAATATACATTGTCTGTCTACGGTAAGCAGAACTTGCTGTCTGTCTACCTCTGCACTTCTGCTTCTTGTAAATTCTCTGAATTTTCCTCACGAATGAAATAATCATAAACACAAGCAAAGACAAAAGATCAAAGAGAGACAATCATCAAAGCCCCCCAAAAAAAGATACCAACGTAAGCCGAAACAAAATAAAATCGAACAACAAAACAAGACTGCGAAAAATTCCGCTTTCTTTCGTTTTGTTAAACTTTGGAGGAAGTATGAGGGAAATTGTGAGATTTCTGCGAAACTGAAGTCTCTTGCATTATTGGATTGTATCCGTATCCTCTGCTTATATGCACCACACGTTTTTTTGTACATTTGCATATCAGCGCTTGTGTTTTTAAAGAGTTCGACTCGTACTCAGGGAGTGGGGAACGAGCCGTTGGCTGACGACCTCTATCTTTTAGTTTCGTTGCATACATTAAGAGAATAAGAATTTCTTTCATAGGGTCATGGAGGATAGTGTAAAGAAAAATAATCAACATTGGCCCTGAGTGGCCACTAGCGATAATTGAGCACAATGAGCCGAAATTTACGTTTGCCTTTTGATGACATCAACGATAGTTATAGAAAACAAAAAATTATTAAACTCGAAAAGTTCTTACATCCTCTTCATTATCAAGCATGAAAAAACTAGAAAAGTGTATTACATTGTTTTCTTTCAATCACCACGAATGTTTTATAAGCGAATGTTGATTCAGCATTTTAATGTTTTGTCTTTTACCTCAGGCATACCTGCCAATTCCCGCTTGTGGACGTCGAAAAATCGACTTTATTGACAACTTCAAACAGTCAAGCCATACTTTTAGAAACAGTACGAAGGATGCAGAATATATACACACGGAAGACAAAGCTACGGTACAACAAATTGCTTGGTGCAATACATACTTTTAATTTCTTATATCAAAACGAGAAACATCATGGAAAGTTTGACTGTGTTGTTAACAAAATACTACAGTGTCCTTTGCTTGAGTGATTTTAGCAGTGCGATTTGTGGAAGGATTTAACTTTCATACTTTCACTAATAAAGTTTATAACACTCAACCTTAACTTGATACTTAATAAAACACTTTTGATAAATTAGATGGCCGACCCAAACACTTCGGGATGTTGCCCAAGTTAAGAAACCGTAAAAACACTTGTAATTAGAAAATATATATATATATATATTGATCACCAGAGGTGCACAACTTAGTTTACACCTGAGCTGGAGACTTGATTTGTTATAATTTATAAGTTGTATCAATATATAAAATAAATTAATCGTCAGACAAAACTTTACTATTATTTCCAAATTTTAAAAATGAGAAGATCATTGTACGCGAGAAAATATGTTCATTTACTAAAATGTTTGGTCGTATTTTGTTGAAAAGCACATTTATGCACATCATCACATACAGCACCAGGTGGACAGCACCATCCACCACCACAACATATCCCACATGGTATATCACAACAAAAATAGATTATATCAGCGGATATTCTTGGATAATATTTACAGCATCTTTGGTCATTGTCACAAAAAAATCTCCGATGATGACGACGGCGTCCTACCCATCCACAAAAAACTCCACTTTGGCCCTACAAAAGATAGGAGATATTAGAAAGAGCACACAGTCCAAACTAATTAATTTGCTTTAGTTAAAAGGACATTTACTACAATCATGCATATGCTCTTTTAAATTTCACTCTCAAATACATGAATCCCACAAACATATTAATAACAAATTTGATTTATCATGAATTCAGCATAAAAACTGTAGTTGTGAGCTGCCTATGATTTAACTCAATTTAGAAGTAACAAAAAGTCCAACACAATGTTGGGGTGTCTGGTGTACAGTCACGTGACTGACGTTTAAACTTTAAAAATTACTTGATTATTAAACTATAAAGTATAAAATTATTCTGCTTTTATCATTACGTCAACTCTATTATCACTATACATTGTTTTGTTATTTAATATTATATAGCAAATCTCGTTGGTAACGAAGTCAGTTGAAATTAAGTGTTCTGAAATGTTATTTACTGACTGTTTTATAAGCGGTGTGGCTTGATTGGTTTGACGGATGCAACAATATAACAACGCTAAATTTAAGTAATTTAATTGGTCTGTTGATCAACAGGCAGTATTAACCATGTAGTCCCCAGGCTTTTTCGAAAATTTGTAACATTTCGTTCGGTGATTGTTGCAGTGGTGCAACAAAGGGCTCTAAAGGCTAAATTTTTCTCAGTCATCTAAGTCTTTTTATAAGACTACTAGCAGGTAATCACTCGGGCTAGTCGAGAACATTGTTTGCTCATACTTGCATATTATAAAAGTTTCAAAATAACACAATGAAATTCACAAAAATTGCAATATATTATGGACAATCACGCGTAAAACGATCCAACAAGGATTTTAATTGGTTCAAGGACTTTGTGTCAATCATGCGTGAATTATGTAATTGTCACTGTATTAATATGTTCATTATTTCTGTAAGTATATCAATAACACAATTTGTATGCAATATATGTCAATTTGTGCTTACACGCTAAAATCACGCGCTTTGAAATTCGAAACACCCGCACACTTAATGTAGGGTAATCTAAAATATAACTATACTAGGATCGTATTTTTACAAGCAAAATACATCCAACCTTTTTTGTTTTCTTTTCCAACTTTGAAGTCATACATTCTCCATTCATTCGTTCCATACCGACTGACTCGTAAAATACCAAAAGAATCAACACAATGCTGAGAGTGTTCATGGCTGAAACGGAAAATTTCTTACTTATCATACAAAGTTTTTACATATAAGTTTGTTCTCAGAAAACGTTCAACTTTCAATTGAAAAGAATAGTTTTTCCACGTAAACAAAATTGATTTGAATGATTTGATGGTCATCGACAGGCATTTTAAACATGTTCTTTGTACGCGCTATGAACATTGGAACATTCAGGTAACATTTTATGAATAACTTTTCCAAAATGATTATGAAACATTTCTTCCTATATTAAGATTTTTTAAAACCATGACTGCCTATAATTGTGGACAAGTTTCTGCAAACTTGTGTTCAAGCAATTTATGTATTTCAAATTGCGAAAATTTGCATTGCACAGTTTTCTCAAAAATCATTTATAAATATTTTGAGAAAATAAGACATGATTACGTAGTTTGTTCCTGCAAAAAGACAATATCAAACATTTTAAAAGTTGATAATAGAATCACACGACATGGCATTACAACGTTATGCATATACTTCAGCTCTCCGGCATATGACCGAATTACCTTCATTATCGAATATTTATAAAAGAGCTAAACATCTTTATAAACGTTAACGACAATTACATTTGAGATACCTTTCTTAAACTTCCTTTTCTGCACGACTTTCGCTATGGTTATGGGTATGGAAATCTTGTGAGCAAGAATGGAACTGATGATAGTTTTGCAAGCGACTTACATCATGTGAAAACTATGAAATCATAATATCACATGCTTTCTCACATGACAATATTTTAAAAGCAAAACAGCAACGAAATTATTGTTAATTCATGCAATAATGAATAACTCTTTCAAGGAGACCAAATGTAACTTACAAATGTCCAAGTTAACCCCCGTAGAAAGTTGCGTAAATCCTCATCTTAAGCGACTAAATAGCCTGTAAAACCAGGTGTTGCGTTTCTTTTTCAGTTTCACAGACATTTTTTCGACCAAGGTTCGACAAAACGTAAATAAACATAGGCATAACCAATTGACAATAAGTACAAGAACATCAATTACTCAATTTTTAAACCTTATTGCTATAGTGAGTAACAGACTTTTAGTATAAGAGTTGTTATTTTATCTTCGTGAAAGCCAGAGGTTTGTCACTTTAGCTTTTACTTTCGCCAGTTTTATGAAACACTGGAAAGAATCACTAGCTAGTTTGCATGAATAGTGTTTGGCATTATGATGACGTCATTATAAATGTACATTAGTTTCGCAGATGTGTTTTAAATGTTCTTTCTTAAATAAAAGACCATGTAGTAGTGTTGTCCAATAGACCTTATGCGTAATGACACAAAAGGGTGGTGCGAGCAGTCCATTGTACTCTTGGTAGTCACGCGAATATAAACATTACAATATGGCTTTACAATTTGTTGTAAGTTTGTGTCTGTTTCTCGTTCTCTTTTACGGGCTTTCATACGGAATAAAAAACATAAATCTAGTATAAACTCTTGCACGGCTCATCAGGGTTCAGCTGTCTTAAAAAAACGCTAAAATTCCAGTTTGTGTGCCGATTTCGACCAAGCAAAATGGAGAGTCGGTGACTCCACTCGGGTCCAAAGTTCACATAAAGGGAAAAAGTTCACATTACATCAAATTTTTAAGATCAGAAGATAACGTACAGGCTTTGACTATCTCGGACATTCCAAAAAATCTCGGAAATTTTCAGAACACTTAAAATTACTCGTAAATTACCAGAAAATATCGGATTGTCTTAAAAATCTTTCGTTGTTTTGAAAGAATTATCGAGCTACGAATATTAATAAAAAGTTCACAAATCTGTGAACTTTGTTCACAATCTAGCAGCACAGTTTGCGTGACTACTAAGGCCACAATGCACAGCGCGAATCGGCCTTCTGACGTCAGATAACGCATAAGATCTATTGTTGTTTATTTTGTACAGCGAGGGGTGTCGAAAGGAAAAAAATTTGTGCTAAACAGCATTTACCATACCTTTATTTCTACTAAAGACAGAATTCAATCTTATACGTAGGGAAACAACAATAATGTTTATATAAATATTCCCCATTGAATTTTTTGAAGTGAACATATTTTTTTCAGTTTCGTATCTATATCCATATCTCATAGAAGACTTTAATTGTTGAGTTTTACAAGTAGTGCAGAGGTCATTCATTTTAAAAGTATTTCTTTAAAGTGTTTCTCAAGAAATTGCTTCCATTTGAAATCAGCGGGAGTTCAGTATTTTTCAGATTTCTGATACTCCACTCCTCAAAGAAAGCATAGCTAAATTCTTTCGGCGAGGACAATTTTAGAGGTATAAACCATACGCTATGTTGACATAATTTGTCTCCAATTCCTGTGGGCTTGGTATAGCTAAAAAGATAGAGCGGCAGACTAGTACCTGAAGATGCAAGCTCAAATCCCGTTGAAGTCACTTGTTTTTTATGTTTCAACAAAATTGTACAGGGATTAATATCATGATTATACTCCCACAAATTTACTTCCATCTCTTTCACTCGTGCATACGTTTTAGTAATACTTTACTTACAATTCTTGACGTAAAGTTCGACTGAAACAAAATGGCAAAACTCTAATCAGCAATGAAAAATCTCTAAGCAACGTTGGCGTGCTTTTTAACATCAATGGCTTGAAACTAAGCTTGATAAGCTTGAACACTTCCCCATGTTCTCAATTTTGTAACTATATAGAGTTAGCCCTAAGCTACTTTGGCCGACCAAATTTACATAATTGTATGCTCACACTGCTTATTACTGAAGATTTGTAATCAAATGAAGCACGTATATTCTCCCTTTAAAGACTTGTACAAACTTTTACAAAACTTTTAATTCTAAATTTTTTTCCGTTTTAGAACAGTTGCGCCCGTACACCTCTGGGAGCTGCTATTCAGAGGCAATAATTTGACATATCTGTGCATCCTGTCATGCAACGCTTGGTTTATATGAAATGGCAAAAATTTGGAAAGCGAGGAGCGTGTCTTGATCTTGCAAAAACTCTACTGTTTTCCATCCTCTAGACGATTCTTGTCGTAACTCTAACAAACAACGCCAACGAAGTGTATCAAAGGCAGATCTAGGGTATGTCAAGTCAGTCACGTGACTGATGTTTGTAGTTCAAAAATTATTTATCAAATTTAATGATTACAATTTTTTTTTTGATCATTAAACTTTCATTCTGTAATCGTTTGGATTTCGTCGTCAAAATTCTCTTTAATATATAAAATCGTATACAAATACTACCTTAGTAAAAAGATCAGTAGATAAAAACTTGTCTAGAATTATATTTCTACAAGTAGTATGCCAAAACATTAAGCTGATGTGTATAAAAAGGCTAAACTACAAGAAAGATTTTTGTGCGATGAAGAAGTAATATCACGTGTGATGACGTCATCCATGCCCGTGCCAATGTTAACACCTGGAGACCTATCTAATACTTTATGTATTACAAGAGATAATTAAAACAAACGGAGTGATTTATTGAAATAAATAATTTTAGATAAAAGGCAACTATACGTTAGAATTAAGATCGACAGGTCATGTAAAAATTAGGAAAAACTTATAGCGATTATTGTATTTATGTATATTGGAATGCGAAGTATCATTCAATCGGTAAATGATTTGAACTTCATTACGTCTTCACATTTGTTTCATAAACAATTGCAGCTTACTGAAATTGGAAAGCTAAGGACGTTTTTACGGGAAAAACAGTTCATTCCTTATTTGTCCCATTTGCAGACAACCTGCAGACATCATTTAAGCAACGCTTTTGAAATTTTTTTATCATAAATTGTTGCAAAAACATAACTGAAGTTGTGAAAAGCTATGTTTTGTTTGACTGAACTTTAAAGAAGATTCTTGAATGCCATGAAGCAATGTGAGTGTTTGGAGTAAATTGTACCCAACCTCGTGAAGAGTGATTTGATGTATTTTTTCTCATACTTCAGTCTAGTGCCTTTCCCAGAAAAGGCCAGAGCCCGAAGGAGAGTTGGGACATAGGAAATAAATTATAAAAAAATGTTTGCAATAATTTTATGTTGCGTTATATCGGTGTCAATCAAAGCGATGATAAATAGAAACATACGCGTTGCCTTGCGTTAAAAACAGTACTAACAGCGTATAAATTACATCCACTGCATTAAATAAATGCTCATCTAGTATTATGACATATACAAAGAAGTGAATTCTAAATGTTGGCATTGCAGTTTCTTCATGAATTAGAAAACACGACAGAAAATTTGTCTTTCCCTCATTTAATGCTTTATATTCGCTGGTTATTAGATACAAAAGCGGACGCTAGGGCTATTTTACTTCCGGTGTCCCAACTCTTCTAATACATGGCTATGAGAGAAGTAACCACTTGTTATTAGACCATTATATACTACCATCATTTTTCGCTAAAATTACGGCCTGTGGGCTAAGACAAAGTTGTTGCACTTTAAGTCGGGTATCTATTCCTCCCACTACTCCTCACACTCCATTACCTTTGCATTTCCCAGCTTGTTTCTGTAACTCATAGTATAAATAATAAGGAATAAATTTAAAGTTCCAACTGGGAAGACCCACTACTTCATGTGTTCTGATTAGCGTGCATTGGAACAGTAGATCGTACGGCTTTTAACAGCCTAAATAGTCGAAATTAAGAACATTTGACAAGTACGGAACGACAAAAACTAATTATGTCTATATACAACAGGCATCTCAAAAGCCCGGACCTGTAGGCTTCAGCCTATTTATCCTACTGAGTAATCCGCCACTGGCGGTCACATAACTTTGCTTTAAGTTTACTTTATCCTGTCAATAACTTGCGCATTATATAGTAGTTAACTTTAAAGAGGCTTGATTGGTCAACATGAAAGCTCTAAAACTTGATTTGTCCAAACTATAAAATACGTATAGAGTTTACACAACCAAAATTCCCGATAGCTCAAAGTGAACACCCCTATGGCTATGATAGTAACTACTTTTTATAGTATTTTACATCGGTTAACACAAATTCCTACAAACAAATTTAATTTTGTGGCGAGAGATTTGCCAGGCGGAAAGCGAATTTCCAATATGGACATAATAGCCATACATAAAACTTTTAAAAAGCCATCACAATAATAAAATAGAGAAAGATTTATTAATAACGTTTCATCTTTAACTCAAGACATCTTCAGATTATTTGAGATAAATTATATACATGAGGTTTTAAACACAAGCATATATTACAGGGTGTTAAATTATATGTGAGTGGAGTAGGAAGTTAAATGACGGAATTAAGTGAGAATGGCGGTATATTAAAGAAAGTGAAAGGGCATTGAGTTGCCTTGGGTGTTAAGAGAGGGTGAGTGAAAATGGGCTTACGATACACGGAGGTGGAAATCTTGCCGTTTGAGCGAAGCCATCAATGCCTTCTACGAGAATCATCCTTAAACGAGAATTCATGGCTTCACAACTGTCCTTCCCTCTTCAAACCCCTTCTTTACCAACGTTACGTTGGTGATTGCTTTCTACTCTTCCGATCATTGGATCGCATACCTCTTTTCCTTACCTATCTCAACCACCAACATCGTAACATCTCCTTTACATCTGAACTGGAAAAAGACAACACGCTCCCCTTTCTTGACGTAAAAATAACTCGCTCAAAAGGCAAGTTTTCCACCTCCGTGTATCGTAAACCCATTTTAGTGGTCTCTTCACCAATTTCCATAGTTTCATTCCAATTCAATACAAACGCTCCTTGATCTCCTCTTTACTTCACAGAATTTTCAACCTCTGTTCCAGCTATGAACACTTTCATACCGAGCTAGAAGTTGTTAGAAAATTATTCACCTTAAACAACTTCCCTTTATACATATTTGACAACCATATTCACCGCTTCCTCTACAATACATTTGAACACAACGATCTTATTGACACTACTCCTAAGAAAATCATGTACTTCTGTCTCCCTTTTACTGGCCTACACTGCCTTCAGATTCGAACTCAAATCACTCGACTCTGCAATGCTGCCTTACCTCATATCAACGTTCGCTTTGCTTTTTGTTCTTCCAGGCGTCTCTCCTCTTTCTTTCCTTTTAACGATAGGGTTCCTAAGCTCCTGAGATCTGGTGTTATATGCTCGTTTAAGTGTCGATGCTGCTCTGCATCGTATGTGGGTAAAACTACGCGTCACATACACACCAGAATATCGAAACACTTGGGAATCTCTCCCTTAACAGGGAAACCTTCCTTATGTCCACCACCCTCTGCAGTTCTTTCTCATATAAGAAATACATCTCACTCTGCCGATTTTAATGACTTCTCAATTCTCTCTTCCACCTCCAACAATTACGACCTTATGATTCATGAAAGCCATCTCATATCTAAACTTAAGCCGTGAAGATGTCTTAAGTTAAAGACGAAACGTTATTAATAACTCTTTCTCTATTATAATATTGTGATGGATTTTTTAAAAGTCTTATGTTGGGCTATTATGTTCATATCGACAAATTCAATTTTCATCGCTTAAATTTTCAAGGATAACTCGTAAGGAACGCTAGCATGCGTAAATCTCGAGATTTCAAGTTTTATAAACCGAGAGCGCAAAGTCAAATTGGCATACTAGCATATGTTTGGTGCTATAACAAAAACTTTAAAGTTGTCTCATCAATATAATCAGTTGCACGTTTAAAAAAAAGTGTTTGCAACACTTACTCCGTCATCGTCGTCAAACGTTCGTCCTCTATGAGATTTGTTAATTATAGGAAAGCTTACAGGTACTGAAGACGAGATTTCGGTTTACTTGACCTTTTGTTCTACTTAATATCAGTATGGGTAAAACTGTTGTCTACACGAAAAAAGTAAATTTTCAGAAACATTCACAAGAATAATGCATGCATTGAAGTCACATTGAAGTAACATTGAATAGCTTTTATTAAAGTGTTTATATTATGAATTTTAGCCTCCTGCCCTCTTTTTAGTAGCTAAATTAAAAGAATATCTTTTGAGGATTCCATTTTGTCCATTTCTGCAATTTAATAATTTAAATCTTTCCAGAAGTGATTTTATGAACGTTCAAAGTTGCGATTTCAGTCATGCAAGTTCAGCCTCGCAATGGGTGGTTGTAAACAAAATGAACAAGTTAATAAACAGCACATTTAAAACGGGAATTTAGGAAAAGCTACAGAGAAGAAAATTATCGGATTTGTATATCATTAAAACATATTAAAATAAAACATTGTTTAATCTTTGCTAATTTGTTTTTGCCAGACGGTTTATCCAACTTCGTTTCGTGTAAATATGTTGTAAATGTGTTTAAAGCCAGCTTTGCCGCTTTCTTATTGTTTTCTGCATCGTTTTTGTTCAAAAGCTTTGGCGTCGTTCCTGGAAACTTTGGCAAACATCGCAAATGTCTGATTTTTTTTTCAGAACCGGCTTTTTAATGACGTCTATAATTGTAGAAACTCGTATTTATAGATATGACGTAATATCTACAGATATCGAGAAGTATTTGCAGGTACGCAGTTGACCAATAAAAAACGACCTTCCCTACGTAGTTAATAATAACCTACACTTGTGTTTATCATTAATGGTTATGTGCCCTGAATGATGTTTATCACATCAGCGTCAGTGTTGCCGAAAGTAAAAGTCGCCAAAAACCTTTCGCACAAATTAAATTAAACAGCAATGAATCACTGACGCCTTCCCAAAACTACTTAACGTACATAACAAACCAAATTCATTAAAACTTAGTTAAACGTTAAAAAAACGTTAAAGGGGTAGTCTGACCTTAACACAACTTTCGCTCATATGAAAGTGTATATTGTTCTTACCTCTCTCACGAAATCCTAGGTTTCCAATTCAAATTTAACTCGAGAAATAATGCCTTAAATGTGTGTATTTTTGCCTCTTGTTCGATCGCCATTGTGTACATGCAAGCGAAGCCGCAGTCCAGCAGCGGTTTTTCGTCGTGACGTCACTGCGCGGTGATCGTTGTCAACATAAGACAAAATATACTAGCAAAAGTAGAAATTACGCATAAGCATATTCATCGTTGCATTTTATTTTCTAAGTTTTTAAATTATTTTGCGCAATGGATACGGATTACTCAAACGATTCCTCTAGTAATTATTCTGGAAGCAGTGTTTCAAACTACGAAGAAATGATTAACGATCAAAACATGATTCAACCATATGCTTATGAGCCGATTGAAACAGACTCTAGCGACGAGCCTATGGACGACTCCGACGAAGTTCAGCTGTTGTAACAATGAATGAAGACTCAGCACAATTTGAGGGAATAGATACTCGGACTGTATTACAGATAATCCTGTTTTCGAAATCTTTGTTTAAATTATGGGTATTACGACTGGCATGGAGTGAGTACAAACAACACTATGGTTCAAGAGCTGAAGAAGGACCTGAACACAAAACACAAAGACATGTGGCTTACAGGCAACTGGTTCGATGGTGTTGGAATGTATTGGGCAAGAGAGTTACCACTACCATCTTTGCTGTTAGCTACATTCGAGCACATTTCCAACCACCAGGTTAGAAGAGGACTTTGTCTTTGGGGTTTTAAATTCGCTGATGAATAATAATGGTAATGTAAACTATTATAGCCATATTTATAAGTATCGTTAATGATGAATTACTAATAAATAAAAATATAAATTGGATTTAGTAAATGAACAATAAATACAAATTATAATGGCCAAACCAAACCAATTCTTTATTTGTGCTATGCAAGGATTTTATACATAATTAAAAGTGCCTTTGTTAATGAATTTGCATAGCAAAACAAAAATTTGCTACTTTACTATTAGAGAGTCTCTTATTATTAATTATAAATATTGATATATACATAACTATTTTTTGGGACTGTTTACCCATTCTTGATTTGTGTGCTTGTAAAACACTTTCTTTGTTTGGCTTTATAGATGCAATATTTGGAATGTTTGCTGGTAAAGAAATCTTGTTATGTACATTTTACATTAAAACAGCAGACATCTTCCATCATACCTTGCACAAAAGAATATGACTTACTCACCATAATTGGCTTGGCTACCAAATTTTCTCGCCCTTTGGGAACACGATATTATATCACTTTTCCCTTGCTGCTTTCCACATTGAACTTGTGCTTGTTTTCTGCCAGTGTTTACATTGTGGTCTATCACTGCTAACTTGGTTCTTGCAAGCATACCTTTATACGAAAAGCACTTTTAATAAAGTATTTTCCCTCCTTCCTCTTGTGCTTATCATGTTCCCAAAAGGGCAAGAAAATTGGGTAGCCAAGCCAATTATGGTGAGTAAGTCATATTCTTTTGTGCAAGGTATGATGGAAGATGTCTGCTGTTTTAATGTAAAAATGTACATAACAAGATTTCTTTACCAGCAAACATTCCAAGAAATATTGCATCTATAGAAAAGCCAAACAAAGAAAGTGTTTTACAAGCACACAAATCAAGAATGGGTAAACAGTCCCCAAAAAATAGTTATGTATATATCAATATTTATAATTAATAATAAGAGACTCTCTAATAGTAAAGTAGCAAAATTTTTTGTTTTGCTATGCAAATTCATTAGCAAAGGCACTTTTTAATTATGTACACCAAAATCCTTGCATAGCACAAATAAAGAATTGGTTTGGCTTGGCCATTATAATTTGTATTTATTGTTCATTTACTAAATCCAATTTATATTTTTATTTATTAGTAATTCATCATTAACGATACTTATAAATATGGCTATAATAGTTTACATTACCATTATTATTCATCAGCGAATTTAAAACCCTCAAAGACAAAGTCCTCTTCTAGACCTGGTGGTTGGAAATGTGCTCGAATGTAGCTAACAGCAAAAGATGGTAGTGGTACTCTAATTTCCTTGCCCAATACATTCCAACACCATCGAACCAGTTGCCTGTAAGCCACATGACTTTGTGTTTTGTGTTCAGGTCCTTCTTCAGCTCTTGAACCATAGTGTTGTTTGTACTCACTCCATGCCAGTCGTAATACCCAATAATTTAAACAAAGATTTCGAAAAACAGGATTATCTGTAATACAGTCCGGAGTATCTATTCCCTCAAATTGTGCTGAGTCTTCATTCATTGTCACAACAGCTGAACTTCGTCGGAGTCGTCCATAGGCTCGTCGCTAGAGTCTGTTTCAATCGGCTCATAAGCATATGGTTGAATCATGTTTTGATCGTTAATCATTTCTTCGTAGTTTGAAACACTGCTTCCAGAATAATTACTAGAGGAATCGTTTGAGTAATCCGTATCCATTGCGCAAAATAATTTAAAACTTAGAAAATAAAATGCAACGATGAATATGCTTATGCGTAATTTCTACTTTGCTAGTATATTTGTCTTATGTTGACAACGATCACCGCGCAGTGACGTAACGACGAAAACCGCTGCTGGACTGCGGCTTCGCATGTACACAATGGCGATCGAAAAATACACACATTTAAGGCATTATTTCTCGAGTTAAATTTGAATTGGAAACCTAGGATTTCGCGAGAGAGGTAAGAACAATATATACTTTCATATGAGCGAAAGTTGTGTTAAGGTCAGACTACCCCTTTAAGACGACATTACTTACTACTAGACTCCTCTTTATCAGATTCGACAAACAGAGCATAATCTTCGTTAGTTTGAAACAATGATCAAAGATGTCATTTGACAAAACGTTATGACGATCTTCTCTCGTTATCTCTTCTTTCACTCGTAATCTCCATCCATGGTGTACTTATGTTTGGCGTTTGTGTAGTTTAATGGAAAAGAAAGACTAAAAACAGATGAAAACTGTAAAATCTTACCATCGCCATCTAATTCCCAGATATTGGACACATGATACGCAGTTTTGAATACAAATTGAATGAAAACAATGGCTTGGCGCACAGTCAAAACAATTATTCCGCATATGAACAATAATTGTATACAACACAACTACTGCTTTGACCACAAACTTCACAAAACATTCAAGTTCTACTTTCTACAAGCATCAGGAGTGGTCACATTTAAGAGTGAGTCTCGAAAGTAGCCTCCCCCTGAATGTAACCTCCCCGTGAAAGTTACCGCGCCTCAAATTAACAGTCTTCTTTATAGAACTGTATAGAGCGTTACAACATTTATAGCTACTTCATTATCCAAACGTTCATGTGCATTTGTTATAGCGTGGATTAAGAGTTAAGCGTGGATTAAGAGTTAAGGATTGCAGTTGAACGATGCCGGAATGAAAAAATAAGAACTAATCATTGACCGAGACCAACTACCAGAAAACTTGATCCCACTCATTTCGAAAGTAGCCAGCTATTTTAAAGCGTTTCTTCTATACAAGAAAATAATTATCTAAAGGTCCACTCACACGACCCGATTTGTCAGATCCGATTGTTTCGGCTCCAATATTTGGTTGCTTGTTCAGACTGTCCGATAGTTTCGTTGATATTTATGTTCGTTTGGATATTTAAAGTCGTATGAGCAGCCATTTGGGCTATCCACTACATTTATCTATATATTTTTCGTGTTTTTGCTTTTTTTTCCAAATCTTTTTCAATCGTAACTTAACTAGTCGGCTTCCTGGGATCTTTTTGAATAAAACTAGAGCACGTACTAATTCCATCGGATTTTTTAGATTGACGGCTCGGACTATCAGAAGGTAACTTTGTGTTCACATATATCATTACATGATGTTTTTTAGGATCCGAAAAATTTGGATCCGATAAATTGGATCGTGTGAACGGGCCTTAAATGGAGATAAATGAAATAGTTACATCAATTCATGGAAATAGGCAAAATCAATTCTGATTACATTTCTATAGAAAAGTGAAACGTTTCTTTTGAATTTGTCTGTTTCGCATTATTGCTATTTTGTCAATGAAATAAAAGATGTTTTTTGTGTTTACACTGGCTTATGCTAACCTCGGAGACGTTCATTTCTTAATAGCAAAACTATGAATACAAATTATTCAATTATTTGGAGTTATTTCCAAAGCTCGTTTAGTCAAAAAAAAGCAAATGAGCTTTCTCAAAAATATCTTAAGCAATATTTAGTAGTTACCTTTTTAGGGTCCAGGTCTCTTGTCAGGTAAATCACACTCCAGCTGTAAATAAGTCATCGCGTCTGATAAACACTCCTGCACTTTGCTCTCCACAGCTTGTTTTATAACAATAAGGAAAAGGATGTGGCAATATTTAGGTCGAGTCTCATTGAAATCATTTTGTAGACTGACATGAGTTATAACTAGATGAAGCATAAACATTCATTGCAACCAAACGTCAAAATAACAAAATTCTCTTTCTATAGAATTACTTTTTGACAGAGAAAAAATCCAATCCCCTATACTTTTTCAAAACAATTTTTGAACCCATATTTACATAAAAAAAACGATATGACAAAGGAGCCTTTAAATCTCCATTTGTGGCAATTAGCTCAATTAGTCGCAATTATTTAAGAAATTTTCTGGGCATGCGCAGTAGTGACTTTAATGATGCTACAACTGTCGTAAGGCCTTCGAATTTATATATATAAATATAAAGCTAAAAATATGTATTGTACATGTCAACTAGCAGTGGAAGCTGGGTGCGATATGTATACAGTGGCTTAGGGGTCCAGACGTTTTGGGTCGCGACCGCACTCTCCCTGCGTACCCCGAGCAAAGCCTATCGCAGGTGATCTCGTGGTCTGAAGGGCGGAAGCTTGTTATTGACATCCCCAAGTAAGATAGCGTGAAAGGGGACGAAATCTCCTACCGAAACGTTAACATGCAGCGTTCTAGTGCCTTACGCTTAAGAAGGTATCGGGAAGCATGTGCCGAAAACGGGGGTTTTTTGCTTTCAATTATGATCGTTTTGTTTACACAAGTTCTTCTTATTAAGTAAACCAAGCAAGGTATCGATTAATTTCTTCTGACACTTTGCCTTTTTCAGACACTTTTAACTAAAACCAACCTTAAACATGTTTTCCACATTTTCATTGTTTACATCTTTACGATTTAACTTCTCCTTTTTATTGAGCAAACCATCTATGAGCTTCAATATAAATCACGTACAAAAATTCCTTTACATTGCAAAATTACCGCTTATTTAAACGATAAATGTAATAAAAAGTTGACTTGACAACTGAAGTAATCCCTCTTTTTCCAAACATTTGCAACACCCTTAAATTCATTTTAAATATATGAATTTCTCGCAGCGTAGCCGAAAAGAATAGTCATCGAATCAGTTTACCTATCCCTATCATCACAGCCAATTCGATTCTTACTTCGATCTTTTTCAGCGTTGTGCTTATCTAAAGTGATATTATTTCTAAAGACGTTAGACATGGGATTAGGAAAAATAAAGGTATGTCTAAAAACGTTATGTTAATCGTTGGTTACCGTTCTCCGGATATAGACATCTCTTTAAATTAATATGACATTAAAAGACAGTAGCTATATACTTTTCCTTATATTAATGCTTGTTTTTCTTTACGTTCTTCATTTTTAAGCGAAAGCTTTTAGTGTAAATTTAAAGGATGAATATCATTATATCGACAAATACATAATCCAGGAAAAAAATCTATCTTTATAACACTGCGATTCAATGAACTAAACTTAGATGTGCGAAACGAACTTTTAAATTCATGGTGCACCAAATTCTTTTCCCTTGACATTAGTTCCTATTTCAAAGAAAACATCTAAATAATGTTTACAAAACCAAAAATGCCATCGAAATGCGTTTACTTCAGTTACATTCTATTGCAAAATAGTAAATAATAAGTCTTTATATATATTTTTGAGCTAAAAGAAAATTGTTCATTATCGAAAGATTCTACCTGTGAATGAACGTGAACTAATCCTCTTAAAATCGAAAGGAGAAGCCGCCACATTCTCTGTTAGACTTTATATTATCAATTTTCAATAAAATTCTTTAGAGCACTCTATTGACGAAGATCCATATGTATATAGAAACATTCCAAATTACGCATTAAATCTTCTTGCAAATCTCTTGTAACGATTGCTATCTCTTT